TGCTTACCTTGACCACCAGGATAAAGACAACGAAAAGCTTTGCCAAGTTCTTCCGCCTGCATTTCGCCGGCATTCGTTAGCTCGCCGCCCCATTTAAGAATTAACAAGAAACACGGTTCCTTATAAGCGTCGCTTTCCGTTTCCGATGACTTCTTTCTCGGTCCATGCGGCTGATACTTCAGCTGCACCTTCCTATTGATGCCGGAAAAAAATCCGTACCTCAAAAATCAACTTAGGTACAGTACACGACAGTAGTAGCATTCTGCGTACATCTCTAACACCATTTTCACCTGCATCAATTTGCCTTGCTGTTCGCTTATCTTGTTCTGTCCATCGGGTGTTCCTTGTTTTATTTCATTCAACAGGTACCTCACAATGTCCAAAATCTCTTGCAGCTGTTGAGGACGTTTCAACTTTAGCTCGCCAAATTTGAAGCCGTCGTATTTTTGAAACAACTCGAAAAATCTGTAAAAATATCGAAATGAATCACACAGAATTAGATTTTGCATCTGAATGAAACACCTGAAAGATCTAAGCCTACAAATAAATTTTTGGAAAATCTGAATTATTCTTCGCTGATATGCGCAAATGAAACTTTTTACATAATCAGTTATTATTCCTTAATTATACACGACTCAATGACATTTTACTACTTGAAGTGCAAGGATGCAAACAGCGGCATCAGTTGGGTGGAACAATAACCATTCGAAGCAGAAGCGCAGAAACGGTGTACCTTATGATAATTATGTACAACGTTACAGACAAATGAAACAGCGCAATAATGCAATGATGCTAAAGTAACATAGCGCCGTAATCCACTTATAAACGGTCCTCTAGGTTAATGGATAAAAGGGGATGGTGGGATTACGGCACGAGAATTTGGAGGTGACGGGAAAAGTACACGACGCATTCTCACGGTTCTCTCTGGCAGTAATCATATACAAACTGTGGTTGGCAGTGTTACGTAAACGTTCGTATTTTAATAACACGTTTTCAATATCTACTCGAAACTATAAAATGCACATGTTACGCTAAACGATTTAACATAAAGCTCAAAAGAACCATATCTGTGCCAAACACAACTCTACCTGAGGCTACTATTGCTGCCTTACTCTACCTGAGCCTTACTCAAAATGGCGGTGTTCAAACGTCAGGTATCCAGTAATTACCTGCAGAAATTATATGGCACAACAGCTGGAAGTGGCAAGCACTGTACAGTGCGAAGCGTGTTGCATACAATGGCTATTACTACGCATTCAGGATGATTGAAAACAAAGCAAACAGCACGACAGAGATCTGTTACCAAACAATCCTCATTGCCAGCAAACGGGTAAATGCAAACTATTCATCCTGATCAATGCCACTGACAACTGAAGAATCCTTGAAAGTCTTTTAAGCGCAGTGCCACCTTCTGATTGGGCAGCACCAAATGGCAGACCTTGCTACAGTCGCTGATAATCTCCTAAGCGAGGACGATAGTCTATGAGTGAAAGATCGTTTCAAGGGTTGCAAGGAGCTCTCAAAATGGAACATTATCATCAGCAATACCAAAACGCTTCTACTGTTGTATAGCTGAGGAAAATGGCTAAGGTTTTTAACGTCGTTTAGAGAAAATTCGTTTGGACTGTAATAACATTCGCAAAGTCTCTTAATACCCGCTTTCAACCGATGAGAGCAGTCAGCAACCAAAGATGATCCACAACATACTGAACAAACCGAATGGGCATCAAATTTGTCCTCTCCTTTCCGTGTATCAATGAGACACAGCACCGTACGAGAAACAAGGTGCCAGGTAAATGAATGTTCGTCAGAACAGAACTTATTATCGTTCTACTTTCGCTTATGGCCCAACTGCAGCGCTGCTATGGATCATGCTGTCTTGACTGACTGACTGACTAATCGGACGATCGATTGAGTGGCTCAGAGGAAACAGATACAATTGGTTTGTTTGCGACGATTCAACAGAACATAGCATTATATTTGTTAAGAAAACATTTAGAAATGGGTTATGACTAGAGTACGAACTCCAGGAGTTAAGTATTTAAACTTTATCACTTCATCAGAACTTTCTTTTGACGAAGAAGGCATTTTCGCTTCGTTCCTCAATCTAATAACAGTTGCAGGGGTAACATCAGCCAGAAATTGTAGCAATTAGCTCTATTCTGAAAAAAACCAGCGAGATTACGATGCAAACGTCGGTCAGAAGTCAAGCATATTGTGAAAAAAATAACAGTATCACTTAAAATTTAATGCGCCGTCAGCTTTCGTGCATTTCTTTCATCAAAACTAAGGCAATCATCATTCCCGAATAAGGGCAAATTTAAGTAAACTTAATATAGTCTGATTTAAAGAATGAACCGCAAAAATGATAATAAAGCATCCGTCGTCAGGAGTCTGCAGCAACAAAGCATACCGAGGTGATCAGTATTTATCGGGTTCTCAGTTGCTTAGATAAACCTTCCATACATCCCCGCAAGGAGTTTTCTCACTGCGTCATGTGAATACCTTCGGAAACTTATCCTTTACGTTTTACAATATTGAAAAACAGCATAAACACAGTTCTATTACACAGAACACAAACCACTGGTACATTAGCTCACAGACCACTACCGACGTTTTGGTTTGTATCCGTACAGAACGGACCTTCTTCAAAGTAAAGCGAATGATCTTCGGCTGCGTCATTCAAAGCAACTGGAGCGGAGCATCTCTAGCCGTAAGACGAAATCTGGTCTATGCTGCTCAAATAGTTTTTTGGATGTTTTCACTCCGTGCAAAGTTCGCAGCGTTTATAGTGGTTGACAGTGAAGCTGGAATTGTAATTAAACTGTGTTTATTCTATTTTCAGCACAATTACCACTGTACCAAAGAAATACTTTTAACTATATAATACTAGTGATATCACACGAATGCATTACTTCGGGTGGCGAACTTCCATTTTTAACTTTTGCTTCGGCGTCCGGTCGCCATGCCTGATCACAGCTAGGACACATCGTAGCTCCATTACTGTTCCGTAAGTGGTCGAGACCAAAGGAGGATCATCTGAAATAGAAAACGTGACATTTCAAAAAACTGTATGCATTATAAGCAGCATCAGTTATCGTGGTACGGTGGCATCTTTCATGGCGGAGGGGCATCTACTGTCAGCACTACATTGCCACTAAAAAACGGTACTATGAGGAGCTTATCAGAGAGTATTTACCCACACTTATCACTTGAATGGAAGAGAATACAATTCATGAAAACAGCTATCTGAGGCAGGCCTGCGGGAGAAGGAATATCCTTTTTGCAGAAGCCTGTATTAGTAAAGGTTAATCCGAAAATCTGATATGCTGCTGTTATAACTTTGTGGTTCAATCATCGATCAGAAGATGAATCACGTTGAGATGGCAGCTTCAAGTAAGTGATCGGCTAAAAGAGCACTCTATGGGGCGAATCAGAAGAGCAGTACAC